CTTAAACTGATAGAGGCCACCTACAGCAAACCCACAGCCAATATCATATTGAATGAAGTTAAACCGAAATCATTTCTACTCAGATCAGGAACCAGGCAAGGTAGCCCATTGTCTCCATTGCTCTTTAACATTGTAATGAAAGTTTTAGCGATCACAATTAGAGAATAAAAGGTGATCAAGGATATCCATATAGGGTCAGAAAAATCACTTTCACTCTTCGCAGACAATATGATTGTATATCTGGAAAACACCAGGGATTCTACTATAAATTCTTAGAAGTGTTCAAGGAATACAGCAGCATCTCAGGTTACAAAATCAACACTCATGAATTGGTAGCCTTTATATATACCAAAAATAGTCAAGCTGAAAAAACAGTCAAGGACTCTATTCCTTTCACAGTAGTGCCAAAGAAGATGAAATATTTGGGAGTTTACCTAACAAAGGACATGAATGATCTCTATAAAGAGAAGTATGATACTCTAAGAAAAGAAATAGCTAAAAATGTGAACAAATAGAAAAACATACCATGCTCATGGCTGGGAAGAATTAACATTGCTAAAATGTCCATACTACCCAAAGCAATATATAATTTTAATGCAATCACTATTAAAGCTCTACTGTAATACTTTAAAGATCTTGAAAAAATAATACTTCATTTTATATGGAATCAGAAAGAAACCTTGAATAGCCAAGACATTACTCAGAAATAAAAACAAAGTAGGAGGAATCATGCTACCAGCCTCAGACTATACTATAAATGAATAGTGATTAAAACAGCATTGTACTGGCACAAAAAACAGAGAGGTAGATGTATGGAAAAGAATAGAGAACCAAGAGATGAATCCAGCTACTTACTGTTACCTGATCTTTGACAAGCCAATTAAAAACATTGAGTGGGGAAAAGATTCCATATTTAACAAATGGTGCTGGGCGAACTGGCTGGTGACCTGTAGAAGACTGAAACTGGATCCTCACCTTTCACCATTAACTAAGATAGACTCTCACTGGATTAAAGATTTAAACTTAAGATAGGAAACTATAAAAATACTACAGGAAAGTGTAGGAAAAGCACCTGAAGAAATCGGCCTGGGTGAAAATTTTATGAGAAGGACCCCTGCCACCCAGGCAATTGAAGCAACATCAAAAATACACTACTGGGACCTGATCAAACTAAAAAGTTTCTGCACAGCCAAGAACACAGTAATTAAAGCAATCAGACAACCTTCAGAATGGAAGAAGATATTTATAGGTTATTTCTCTGACAAAGGTTTAATAACCAGAATCCACAGAGAACTCAAACATGTTAGTAAGAATAGAACAAGTGATCTCATCTCAGGGTGGGCAAGGGACTTGAAGAGGAACTTCTCTAAAGAAGATAGGTGCATGGCCTTCAGATATATATAAAAAAGAATGCTCATCATCCTTAATCATCAGAGAAATGCAAATCAAAACTAGTTTGAGATATCATTTAACACCAGTAAGATTAGCCCATATCACAAAATCCCAAAACCAGAGATGCTGGCGTGGATGTGGAGAAAAGGGAACACTTCTACACTGCTAGTGGGAATGCAAACTAATATGTTCCTTTTGGAAAGACATCTGGAGAACACTTAGAGAACTAAAAATAGACCTGCCATTTGATCCTATAATTCCTCTATTATGCATATATCCAGAAGACCAAAAATCACACTACAACAAAGATATTTGTACCAGAAAGTTTATTGCAGCCTGACTCATAATTGCTAGGTCACGGAAGAAGCCCAAGTGCCCATCAACCCACGAATGGATCAATAAATTGTGGTATATGTACACCATTAAATATTATGCAGCCCTAAAGAATGATGGAGAATTTACCTCCTTCATGATTACATGGATGGAGCTAGAAAATATTCTTCTTAGCAAAGTATCTCAAGAATGGAAGAAAAACTATCCAATGTACTCAGCCCTACTATGAAACTAATTTATAGCTTTCATATGAAAGCTATAACTCAATTATAGCCCAGGAATATGGAGAGGGGGAGGGTGGGTGGAGGGAGGGTCATTGGTGGGATCCATACCTATGGTTCATCTTACAAGGGCACAAGTGAATCTTTCTAAAAGTAGAATATAAATGTCTTAACACAATAACTAAGAAAATGACATGAAGGCTATGTTAACCAGTTTGATGAAAGTATTTCGGATTGTGTGTGAAAACATCACACTGTACCCCATGAATGCATTAATGTACATAGCTATGATTTAATAAAAAAAAAAGAAAGAAAAGAGGAAATAATCCCATGTAAAAGTGGACAACAACTTCCCTGAAGAAGAAAGATGAATGGCTAACAAACATGAAAAAATGCTCATCATCAGATAATTGCAAATCAAAACTACCTCAAGGTATCACCTAATCCCAGTGGAATAGCCCACATCACAAAGTCCCAAAGATGCAGTTCCTGGTGTGGATGTGGAGAGAAGGGAAAACTTTTACAGTGCTAGTAAAACTGCAAACAAATATTTTCCATAGCCTCTATGGAAAGAATTATGGAGATTTCTCAAAGAACTTAAACTATACCTTCTATTTGATCCTGCAATCCCTTTACTAGGTATCTACCCAGAAGAAAAAAAAAAAAAAACATTTTACTTTCAGGAAATTTGCACTAGAATCTTTATTGCTGGTCAATTCATAATTGCCAAGATGTGGAAGAAACCCATGTGCCCATCAACCCAGGAATGGATTAAAAAACTGTGCTGTATGTATACCATGGAATACGTTTCAGTCATCAAAAAAAAAAAAAAAAAAAAAGAAATGAAGACTTCACATCTTTTGCATTTACCTGGATGGAGTTGAAGCACATTCTTTCTAGCAAAGTGTGCATGAATGGAAAAGCATGTATCCAATATACTTAATACTAATATGAAACAAATACATAAAGAACTACACACCCACAGGAGAGAAAAATACAATTGAATTGAAATGGCAGGGCTGAAGGAAGGTGCCCATTTGCTCTCATCAAATGTGCACAATGTGAGGGCACACAACACCCTCTGTGGGTGAAGGGCTTAGCTACAACCTGAACTTTACCTAAGATATGCAAACAATGTAACCTAATCATTTGTACCCTCATAGTAATCTGAAATTAAGAAAACAACAGCAACAACAACATACCCAGGATCTGTCAGGGCTGTTATCATTTTCATGATATACTATGTTTTCATTTAAATAAAAGTTAGAAGATAAGTTTATTGCAGGGACACAAAGTAGAAATGGGCTAAAAAGACATTTCTGAGACTGATGTGTTTTTGTTCAGAGACTGAATAAAGTATTTTAGAGATGGACACTTCAGGTGCATCTATTTTCCTTACGGTCAGGAACATTATTTCCCAACTTACAGAGTCTTTTTTTTTTTTTTTTTTTCAGATCTAAGTTTGGTTCTCTTTTAGAGTTATGTAGTAACTCTGCCTAAGGACAAATTGGAATTTTGTGTTATATGTATTCACAAATTTACCCAAATTTTGGTTTTACTCATTTTTCTTAAATTCTAATTTTTCACCACTCTACTTTGCCTTGATTGATCCACAATTACTCTTACTTTTGCACATAAGGAAGTCCATAATATACAGTACATTCCCTCTTCCACACACCTTATGTATTCCTAGTTTTTGAGACATGTTTGCAGATGCAAACATGAAAGATTAGTCAGCTTATTTTGTTACTTAGTTATGTTTTCTGTCAGGGTACAGATATTCAAAATGATTTGATCCTGTGGGCAAAGATAGTCAGAAAATAATTAAAATTTAACTTACAAATTCTGTATCTAGCTACTTCCAAATCCTGGACTGCAACTAATAAGTGAAAAATAATTTTCCTCAGCCTACAATAGGAACTAGCAAACTTTATCACTCTCTGTTTGAAATTAAGTTAATTTATTGTGCTTTCAATCTACCAAAACTGAATTAGCAGTTAATTTGTAATATTACCATGCCTTCTTCACTTAAAACAATTTTACCTCATCAAACCATTCATAGTAAACCCCTACACTGTACTTCAGTACTGTTCTAAAGGGCAAAATTTGGAGACTTGGAAAGCTTTATGCTATTAGCAGACTAAATCAATGCAATCAGACATAAAAGTGAATTATTTAGCTTTAATTAAAATTATATAAAATAATATGACAGTGCTATGTTCTGACATAGCCTAACTGCTTAAGTCTAGGTCTAACACATTCTAATGTCGTCTAATGACAGTGATTAATGTCATTGTGACACTGTTTACTGATATCCTACATGGAAATATGTTATAAGCTTACTACTGTTACCCTAACACCAAAGGCCTCATTCTTTATGATACAAACTCTCTTCATAGGCGCAATCTTTATGACCCCAATCTCTCCTTCAATATAGACACTGAAGTGAGTTAGGGATCACTGGAAATAAGAAGTATTTAACTGGGCGGTGCCTGTGGCTCAAAGGAGTAGGGCACCAGTCCCATATGCCGGAGGTGGTGGATTCAAACCCAGCCCCAGCCAAAAACCACACACACACACACACACAAAGAAGTATTTAACCTAAGCATTACTGACTGGCAATATAAAATTGTAAATTTGGAAACACTGTGAATGATTATTCTTTTAATGTATTCAGTGGCCACCACTGTGAAATTGTTCATAAATTCTATTGCTTAGCAATATGATTAAATAGTTGATGTTACCTTCCTTATCACATAAGAAATGTATAATACAAGGAGTATAATTATAAAAATTATAAAATACACAAAACACCAGAAATCACTTGCCTCTATACCCACGGCAAATTTATAAGTTATTATTTATTTTTAAAATGTTTTAAGCTTTGTAAAGTTAAATGGTTTTTAAAATTGAATATCAAAATTATGACTTACCAATTCTTAAATGCTAGTCCAAATTTCAATTTCTTTTCAACTATTCTATGTTACCAATGCAAAAACCATAATTAACCAGAAATTAAAATTTCAAATTTCTTATACCTGTGGCTGATCAGTTTTGCTTCCTTCGTGCTTCTCTTGCCTTTCCTCTGATGGTACCATGAAGTCTTGTTTTGCTGTCAAAACCATATATTTAGTTAACATGATCTACTTATAATGATCCAATAAAAGCTGCAGTGTTAATTAAAAAAGAGAATATTTTTTCATTTTATAAATTGATAGTTTAAATGGAAGTTAATCTTTAGAAGATTATTTATTTCCTTAAAATAAATTTCAAAATACACTCAGGGAGGCATCAGATATCCCCAGATTCAAGGCATACAAACATCTCACATATTCACTCTTCCATTTGTCTACCTAACATAAATGAACAAAATTTAAAATTATCATAAACAAACAAAAAAAATTATCATAAACGTATGAAGTATCACTGTAAAACTAGTCTCTACTTCATAATTGTATGTTCAAAAACATTGCATGTGTGTTCTTTATATTAATGGTTCACATGGTTGGTGTTGCTTTTTATATCTTCATCAGTGTATACCCAGTTCCTATGTCTGAAACACTCTCCTCTATGGCAAACCCACAGCTAATATTATACTGAATGAAGTAAAACTGAAAGCCTTTCCACTCAGAACTGGAACAAAACAAGGTTGTCCTCTATCACTACTACATCAGGACGAAAGTTCTAGCCAAAATAATCAGGCAAGAGAAGGAAATAAAGGGCATCCAAATGGGGGCAGAAGTGAAACTCTCCCTCTTTGCTGATGATATACTTAGAGAACCCCAATGACTCAACCACAAGATTCCTAAAAGTGATCCAAAATACAGTAATATTACAGGATATAAATTCAGCATCTGCAAATCAGTAGATTTTGTATATGCCAATAACAGCCAAAATGAGAAGTTAATCAAGGAAACAATTCCCTTCACAGTAGCTTCAAATAAAATGAAATCCCTAGGAATATACCAACCAAAAAGATGAAAGACCTCTTTAAAGAAAATTACAAAATCCCTATGAAAAGAAATAGCAGAAGATATTAATAAATGGAAGAACATACCATCTTATAGCTGGGAAGAATCAACAATGTTAACATGTCTATACTTCTCAACACAATCTACCCAGATTCAATGCAATCCCCATTAAAATACCATCGTCATACTTTACAGATTTGGAAAAAATAGTACTTCATTTTGTATGGAACCAGAAAAAATCCCAGATATCCAAAGCACATCTTAGTAATAGAAGCAAGGCCAGGGTATCAGCCTGCCAGACATTAGGCTGTACTACAATGCCATCGGAATGAAAACAGCATGTTACTGGCAAAAAATAGAGACATAGACAGCTAGAACCCAATGGCAAATCATGAAATGAAACTAATATATTACAGCCACCTGATTTTTGACAAACCAAACAAGAACATACATTGGGGAAAAGAATCCCTATTCAAGAAACGGTGCTGGGAGAACTGCATTTATAAGACTGAAACTGGGCCCATACCTTTCTCCACTCACTAAAATTGATTCAAGATGGATAAAAGACCTAAATATAAGGCATAGAACAACAAAAATCCTTGAAGAAACTCTGGAGAAAACACTTGAAGTTATCGGGGTGGGGAAACACTTTATAAAAAAGACTTTGGTGGCAATTTCAATAAACAAAAGATAAAAAATGTGACTTAATTCAACTGAATAGCTTCTTCACAGCTAAGGAGAAAATAACCAAAGCAAACAGACAACCATCAGAATTGGAAAAGATATTTTCATATTATGAATCAGACAAAAACTTGACAAATAAGTCAGGCATTATGGCAGGTGCCTGTAGTCCCAGCTACTCGGGAGGCTGAGGCAAGAGAATCGCCAAAGCCCAAGAGCTGGAAGTTGCTGTGAGCTGTGATGCCACAGCACCTACTGAGGGCAACAAAGTGAAACTCTGTTTCAAAAAAAAACTTTGATAAATAGAATCTACAAAAAAGTCACATTAAGCAACAAAAATAAAAAGAGTCAAAAATCACTTATATCAGTGGGCAAATGAGATGAATAGAACCTTCTCTAAAGAAGACAGATGAATGGCTAACAAACATGAAAAAATGCTCATAGTCCGTAATCATGAAAGAAATGTAAATCAAAACCACTCTGAAATATCATCTAACCCCAGTGAGAATGGCCCACATCACAAAATCTCAAAGATGTAGATGCTGGTGCAGATGTGGAGAGAAGTAAACACTTTTACACTGCTGCTGGGACTGCAAATTAATACAACCATTTTGTAAGGAAGTATGGAGACTCCTCAAAGAACTCAAACTAGGCCTCCCTTTGATATTGCAAACCCATTACTGGACATCTACCCAGAAGGCAAAAAAAAATCATTTTATCCTAAGGACATTTGCACTAGACTGCTTATTGCAGCTCAATTTACAATTGCCAAATTGTGGAAACAACCTAAATGCCCACCAAACCAGGAATAGATTAACAAGCTGTGGTACATGTATACCATGGAATACTATTCAGCCACTAAAAAAGATGGTGACTTATCTTTTATATTAACTTGGAGTTGAAATACATTCTTCTTCTTTTTTTTTTTTGAGATAGCATTTCACTTATTAACCCTTGGTAGAGTGCTGTGGTGTCACAGCTCACAGCAACGTCCAACTCCTGGGCTTAGGCGATTCTCTTGCCTGAGCCTCCCGAGTAGCTGGGACTAAAGGCACCTGCTACAATGCTCAACTATTTTTTTGTTGCAGTTTGGCCAGGGCTGGGTTTGAACCCACCACCCTTAGTATATGGGAGCCTGCACCCTACTCACTGAGCCATAGGCGCTACCTGAAATACATTCTTCTTAGAAAGCATCACAAGAATGGAAAAGTAAGAATGCAATGTACTCCATTCTGATATGAGGACAATTAATTATGGGGTGGAGGATTCCGGGAGTGGGGGAGTTGGGAAGCAGAGAGAAGGAAGCAGGGAGGGGGTTGGCAGGTCACAGTGTGTCACACATCTCCTGGGGGCGGGACACAATTATAAGAGGGACTTTACCTCACAAATGCAAGCAGCATAACCTGGTTCTTTGTAGCCTCCATGATTCCCCACAATGAAATTTTAAAAAATGAATACAAAATAAATAAAGGCAAGGGGGAAAAAAAGAACCTGTAGCATTTTCTTTCTTTCCCTTTTCCTTTGCTTAGTTTTTCCTTTTTCCTGTTTCATTTTTCCTATACTTTCTCTCCTCCCTTCCTTCCTCTCTCTCTCTTTCCTTTCTCTCCCTCCTTCCCTTCCCTTCCATTAGAAATGATGGGAGAAAGCCACTGCAACTAGTTGTGCAGAGTTGTCACAATGACTTTATTCAGTAAACATGAAACGACCATTTAATTTTTCTCATATTGCTGCTTTTATTACGATGAACCCCTGCTCGATAGACACAAAATATGTTAGAACAAGATCAATTTTAAAAGAGTATTTACTGAGTTTTTGTTTTACTCACTGGAGAAGAGTAAGGATGGTCATTTAACGAGAAGTATACAGTGTAAAAAGGTTTTTCAAAATAGAAGACAGCTAACAAATGTATTTTTAAAACTTAATTTCCAGAAGACTCAGTGAACAGTAAGTAACTTCCTAAAAGTTTCTTGGTGTACAGTTACACTTAAAGTCTTTTAAATGTGGATTTTATGCATGTTAAAATGTCGTGGCCTATGGAATTTTTTAAAATGTTAACATTTGTTATTAGTAACATTTTGATATTTTTTCTAACAGATATTTTAATAGAAATAATTCATAGTAAACATGGCTATATAAATATTGTATTGCAATGAAAGGATTTTTATGAAAGAAAAAAACAATTACCTGATCTGGATGTTTTCACATTCTTCCTTCCTACTGTTTTCTTCAGACTGGAAACTGTCCTGTTAATAGTACTCCGAATAGCCTTTAAAACAAATTGTATCATCAATAATGAATATTGCACACAATGGGCCGTGAATAATTCCAGATGAAAAAAATGAATGTTATTACCTTCAATGGATGATGTTTCTTAAAATATGCTAAAAAATAAAAGGCACATATAATCAATGAAAATGACAGTAGAAATGTAAATATGACAAAGTCAAACATACATTCATAGAAAGTTCCTATTGAGCTGAATCCTCGAGTAAGAAAATAATTTAATTACTTTGGGTTTTGGGTCATATTATATTATTATTATTTTCATGCTGCTGACAGAAATGTGACAGAAATAAGTAGAAGAAAAATAGGAATATAGGTTTAATACAATAAGCAGCTAAGATTTCAAAAGAAAGATTATGTTTCAAATAAGAAACTTCAAATAGAAAACTGAACGTTTCATGTGAGCAGTGATGTTTCATCAGAGGAATAAACCATAACCCTAAAAGTTAAATGACAAGGCTGATGGTAGAAGCCTATGATATATCTTCAGCGCAGCACTTAAAAATCATTTATACCATTACACGATGAGTTCTTCAGTTTGTCATGTTATTTAGGAAGGACACAATTGTGATCAAAATTTAGTTGAACATATACTGCATTCCATGTTTTTAATCAGCAAGCATGTATATATACTTGTAGAATAACAGTGGAGAAAAATATTCATATTTTTCCATGCCCATGTGAACGAAGAATAGGACATTTCTTATGTCCTTTGGTTTTGTCATTTTAAAGACTCTTCATTGACTTAGTCAAGAGTTATATAGGATATAATGGAGAAATTGTATAAAATAAGCTGTCATTATTAAAATATTTATCAAAAAGGAGAAAATGAATACCATAAAAAAACTACAATTTTTATTAATAACCACCATAATTCAAGATGAATGGAAAATTAATTGAAAATAACAAAAAATTCAAGAAATAACCTGTATAATTCTATCTTTTCTAAAATTAGTTTAGTGGACATGTTAATGTTAAGCCACATTAATGGCTTAATGACTATTTCTATGTCTCAGAGATTTAATAGCTATTTTTTCTTTTATAAGTTTGAAAATTAGTGAATTTTAAGAATATAAAAAGATCAGCAATTCTCCCAAACTCATGTAAATCTTATAGAAGAATCATAAGTAGGATTATAGATTATATGTAACACAATATTAGTGGAATCTGTGTGTTTAAAAAAAACTTTGACATGCAGTCAGATGAATATTTTCTAGATTGAAATAGATGACATCTATCTTAAGCAGCGTCTTTTATGAAAAGAAAGATTTAAAAAATCACAACACTGAGCTGTTTCTTATAAGAAAATAAATAAAAAAAACAACAAAGTTATCATTTGGTCAGCAAGTATTCTTCCTATGTACCCTCCTATTGGAATGGAAATCCTAGCTAGTCCTTTTTAGGATACCAGAAGTTCATATATTTTTTGTTTCCCCCTTAGCTATCTTCCAAGTCCTTTCCTTATAGAAGTAACATAAGGAAGTCTGACACTTACAAGACTAATATCATCCACCACGTTGTATTCTGTGTTCTTTGAAGTGATTGCAAGTTGGGAAACAAATCATGCTAGTAAATTCCAGGTTTTGAATATAGAACAACAATCTCTAAAATTGCCCTAAATGACCATTTATGTACATTCAGGTTAATTTGCGTGTTTTTACTTAATACACACACGCACAAAAACACAAGATGCTATGTCATCCACATTTCATGCATTCTTGGGACTGATTTTCTTCTCTCTTCCATGAAATTCTGTTAAATGATATTGCCTTTAATTACATCTGCAATTGTCTTAATTGCATACCATAAAGAGTATTGTGTCACACATTGAAAATTTCATTAATTTTAGTCAGTTAATATTTCTACACTTGAATAATTTTTTTAAATTAAGTCATAGCTGTGTACATTAATGCATTTATGGAGTACAATGTGTTGGTTTTATATACAATCTGAAATACTTTCATTAAATTGGTTAACATAGCCTTCACTGCACTTTCTTAATTATTGTGTTAAGATATTTAGACTCTACACTTAGTAGATTTGACATGTACCCTTTTAAAATGCACTATAGGTATGGTCGCACCAATTACTCTCCCTCCACCCATCGTCCCCCCCCCTTTTCCCCTTCATCTTGGGCTGTAGTTGGGTTATAGTTTTCATATGGAAGTGTGGGTGCTTATATATTGGTTTCATAGTAGGGCTGAGTACATTGCTATTTCTATAAAATGGCTATTTAGAGAAAAAAATAGGTATTTCTTAAAATAGTAGTCAATGCTTGTATATTTAAATTAATTTCTGATTAAATGACATTAATGCAACACAGATCTCTAATGCCTGACAGTTACGGAGCAATGAAATGGGTTACTGTGGTTTGTCCCAAGTCCACCACTCCCTCCCACTTCTAGGGATCTCTGGACCCTAATCTTACCTCTGAGTGCAAATCTGCTGGATCTATCTGCAGTGAGTTCTTTCATATTTTCTCATCATTAACTGCATTGTTACCCAGCTAACACCCTCTAGCCTCCCTCTGTCCCCATTTAAAATGTCTATTCCTTTGCAGAGTAACCTTCAGATTTGAGGTCTCCATTCGTCTGCTGGGTCATCTTCATCATGTCTTTTCTCTTAGCAGAAATATATTATATCTATTATGTCAATGTCTTAATTTCTTTGTTCCCTGCCCTCTAGCTAGAAATATACTGAGAAATAACAACAAAACAATGCTTTCCCTTGATTAAAATATCACGGAAGTGCTCTCCAGTGGCTTTCTCTACATATTTCTCTACAACAAAGTTTGTGCACTTGCCACTCAGGGTGGCCCAACAACCAGCAACACCAACATCACACGTATTAACAATGCAGAAGCCCTTGCCGGCTGAATCAAAATGTGCATTTTAAACAAGATTCCCAGCACATTTCTAATTTGACAATTCTGATCTATACTAAGTGAGTATACACATACCTTACCTGAATTACCCATTTACAGTCTAACCTCAAGTTCTTCTCTAGCGCATTCTCCGAATAGAAAGGACATCAAAAATGATACTGATTCCAGTGCAATTTTCATAAAGCCAGAGATGCCCTGAGCACTTGATAGATAAAAAACTACTGTATTCTTCCTATTTCACAAACCTTGAATTACATGATTAAATGCTATGAAGTACCACCACTTTATATGACATGAAATTACATACATGTATGGCTCACCTTCTATTCTTCCATTCTTCCACACTACATCCAACAGCTCTGCAAGACCAGGGGCCTCTGCATGACCAGGGGCCTCAGATCTTACTTAATGCCTTCCCCAAAGGGAAAAACATAGGAAGAACAGGGAAGTTTGTGCTACTTCTCTGACTCATTTTGGCACTGGAAGCTCATTTTATTATATTCTTCTCACCTGTTTAACACCTTGTTCTACCTTTTAATTTAATTTATTTCAATTAATTTATTTCAATTGCTTTTAATTACATTTCAGTAGGAAGCCTCAACACCATGTGTGGAGGAGAAAATGGGAAGGTCTTGGTTTCTGAGTACTTTTGGTTGGCCAAGTGTGGCCAGACACTGGGCAGAGGGGCTCCGTCTGCTGGGGCATTGTCTATCCCTGGTCAGTGGGAGAGGGCAGCAGGGGTGCTCCCCATAGCAGTCCTGCTGTAGCCTTCCCGTCTGGCCTGGCCCTGGGGAGAAATGAGCTTAGCCTTCCTCAGCAAGGTTGAGGTAACTGAGACCCCACCCAAGGGCATCTTCTCAGCCCACGAAATACGAGCTTGTGTGCAAGTTACATTTTAAAAACAGATTTTCATCTGAGGTGAACCCAGATGTCACTTCTGCTTAACATGCCAAGCATGAGACTGGCAAGTGGCACAGAGAAGTTTAGGTCCTTCCTGTGCTATTCTAGGCCCAGAGAAACTGAGAAGACACCTGCTCTCTTGGCCCGGAGGCTGTTCAGGAAAAGCCAACAGTCAGAGTGCCAGCCTCAAGTTCCGAGTGCCCCCCTCCTCTGGACCTCGCAGTTCAAACAAGGCCTAGCAGAAAGAGGGGTGTTTTCAGTTTCAGGCATACATATGCCAAAATTTATTAATCCATTCATGGGTCGATGGGCACTTGAGCTTCTTTGATGACTTGACAATTATAAATTGGGCTGTCGTAAATATTCTGGTGCAAATATTTTTGTTGTAAAATGATTTTTTGTCTTCTGAATATACACCTAGTAGAGAAATTGTAGGATCGGATGTCAAGTCCACCTTTAGTTCCCTAAGTTTTCTTCAAAACTCTTTCCAAAAGGAATGTATTAGCTTGCATTCCCATCAGCAGTGCAAAGTCTTCCCTTCTCTTCACATCCAGGCCAACATCTGCAGTTCAGGGACTTTGTAGTGTGGTCTACTCTTCCTGCAGTTAGGTGATATCTCAAACTGGTTTTGATTTGTGTTTCTCTGATGATTAATGACGATGAGTATTTGTTCATGCATCTGTAGGCCATGTGCCTATCTTCTTCAGAGAAGCTTCTGTTCAAGTCTCTTGCCCACAATGAAATGGGATCACTTGTTCTTTTCTTATTAATAATTTTGAGTTCTCTGTGGATTCTGATTATCAAACCTTTGTCAGAAATATAACCTGCAAATATCTTTTCCCATTCTGAGGGCTGTCTGTTTGCTTTACTTACTGTGTTCTTGGCTGTGCAGAAGCTTTTCAGTTTGATCACATCACAGTAATATATTTGGGGTGTTGCTTTAATTCCCTGGGGAGTCCTCCTCATAAAGTATTCTCCCAGGCCAATTAATATGTTATTCTTAGTATAATATCTCAAGAATGGAAGAAAAAGTATCCAGTGTACTCAGTACTATTATGAAACCAATATATAACCTTTACACAAATGATAAAACACAACTATAGCCCAGGATGACAGAGGGAAGAGGTAGGAGAGGGATGGGGAGGAGGGAAGTTGGATGGAGGGAGGGTAATTGGTGGGACCACACCTATGGTACACATTGAAAGGGTACATGTCAAATCTATTAAAAGTAGAGTATAAGTGTCTTAACACAATAATTAATTGAGGTGAAGGCTATGTTAACCACTTTGATGTAAGCATTTTAAATTCTACATA